AACTCCCTGTCGGTGGGGCCTGCTCTTTCCAGCTTGCCGGAGCTCCGTCCCCACAGGTGTCTGTGCCTGTCACCACAGCACGGCGCCTCTGCTATTCCGCCTGCCAATTTCACCTGCCTGGTTCCTGTCGACCATGACTTTGGAAGCCTTCTTTGCCTTTAAGTGTTTGTTTCTTATCCCACTCTGTGGGGAAAGGGTAATATTGGGCTCTAGAGTGGCTCCTAGTGACCCTACTTAGGCTGGCACCACACCAGCTCTGTGGTGGGGGAGGGATGACAGCAGGGGGAGCCCACCCAGCTGGGACTTACACCTAGAACCAGATGGGTACCGTTCTGGAAGACAGACCAATGAGACCTGATGGACAGAGGTGTAGAGAAAGGGTAAAGCCTGAGAACAGAAGTATAGGGGCTACAGGAAAGGAAGTCAGAAAACAGCTTCCAGGCTGGTTGAGGGTTGGCCTGTGGACCCAGAAAGGAGCTGGGGAGTAAAGCACAGCAGACTTGCTATGTGCCACGCTCTGTGCTGCGTCGAGCTGTAGCCGAGCGCAAGACGGACAGTTCCCTGCCCTTGATCCACTTAAAATTGGAGGGGACAGGGAAAACAAGACTGCAAATCTGAAGGGCTTTCAAGGAAGCACTTTTTACCTAGTGGGGTTGGGAAGGCTAAGTTGACACCAGAAGGACAAGAGGGAGCCTGTGCAGAGCTGGGAGAGAACACTCTGGGCATAGGGTCAACATATGCAAAGACGCTGAGGCAAGAGCTTGGCATGGCATGTTCGACCTGAAGGCAGGCCAGTGTAACTAGGGTGTAGTTAGCAAGGAGGAGAGTATCCTTGGAAGCCAGAACAAGTACAGCTTTTAAAGGCTGTGGTAAAGGTCACAGATTTTATTTTAGGACCAATGGCAAATTTTAGGCAACTTGAATTTTATGCTGGGGCAGAACAGAGTGTAATAATGTGTAATAATGATTTCAGGAATAGAATTGTGATTCATCGCTTAACATATAACCCCTAGTGCTCATCCCAGCAAGTGCCCTCCTTAACGCCCATCACCCATTTAGCCCAACCTCCCACCCAACACCCCACCAGCAATCCTCAGTTTGTTCTCTGTGTTTAAGAGTCTCTTAGGCTCCTGAAACTTCTCCTGGACCCATCTCTGCACTTTCTTGTAAAATCTAGTTTAATAAGAATTCTGCTAAGTCAGTTTAACCAGAACCTACCCCCCACCTCGATATCTGATCAGGTCCTTCATCCTCTACCAACCCCCAGGTGATGTCTGAGCACCCTGGCCTGTCTACAGCAGGGATCTTGTTAAGGTCCGTTTGGTCAGAAGCCAGCCACCTATCCCCACCCTACTCCTTGGCTATAAATCCCCCCTTGCCGAGGCCGTATTCTGAACTGAGCCCAGTTCTATGCCGAGGTCTCTTTTGCCCTAGTGCAGTAGTCCTGAATGAAATCTTAACTATTTTTACTATGTGGCTCTGGTTTTTCTTTGACAATGTAGTAGTGCTGAGCCTGGCTTTCTCTAAGAAGTATTAAACATGGTGATTTAGAGCCCAGCTGACCTGCTTGATTAGCTCTGTGCCCTTCTTTACCCCTCAGGGTCTTAGTTTCCCATCAGTAAAAATGGGGATAATACCTCCGAGAGCTTTAGAAGGATTAAATGAGGTCGCAGCCAAAACACATACCACAGTGCCTGGCGCTTAGCATCGACTCCGTATTTGCTCTGGTCAGCGCAGATATCGGTATCACCGTTATTTCCCATGTGTCATTAGTAGGATCACAGAAAGCAGTTTGTACCAGGTCCACGTGTTTATTTGTCTGATTGTTTAATTCACTCTATTCCCCAGCTCGCATTTCCTGAGGGACCTGGAATCGTGAAACCACATAAGAGCGCTGCCCTGGAATGAGGAATCGGTTCCGGCTTTGCTCCCTCTGCGAGGGTGGGACCTGGCCGGGGCGCCTGACCTCTGTGAGGCCACCCCTCCCTGCCTTTCTCCAGAGGGCTGTGGGAGGGAGCAAATGCAGTAATGGATGGGAAACCTCTCTGTGAACTTTAAGTTAATACAAACATAAGGGATTATTATTAAAAGCGACAAGTCCCCCATTGATTAGAGCATTTCCTTAGGGGGAAAAAAAATAACACTGGGTCTTAAGTAGGACCCCCACGGGAATGGGAAGCTCCCAGCCCCTCTGTGGGGAGGGGTAAAGTCTTTTAAGACACCATTAGTGTTGTAGTTAATGGTGATAAAGCACCGGAATTGTGGCCATCATGGTTTTTTCCTTTATAATTGTATTCGCCTTGAAAACCACAAGTAGCAGTGGGTCCCAGTGGTCATTATTTCATTTGAAAAACTAATTGGAAGTTGGGAGAGTCCTCAGTGTTTGTTTCTGTCGGGGTGGAGGAAAGAGATGAGCAGGTGGGTCTGGGGGAAGGAGGGGGCCTCGGGGCTGGCCATGGCGAGCCCACCATTCAGCGGCTTCCTCCTTTGTTCTCCTTCCTTGGCAGGTTCTCGGCCTGCCCGCCTCTCTTGGTTGAAGTGGACTGCCAGCCCTCAATGGCCAGCCTTCTCCTCTGGAGGGGGCTTTTGTCCCCCATTGTTGGTATGGTCTCCTCGGCAGAGCCGCCACAGTGGTCCCCTGCAGAGCCTTTCCCACGCCTGACATTCTCTCTTGGAGGGTAAACTGGGGACTCCCAGGGAGAGCAGGTGGTCTAAACCCTGTGAAGAATCAAGCTGGCTTTACAGTTCTGGTGCAGGGAGACAGGAGACCTGCCTGCCAGGCCCCAGGTCGGTGCTGTGTGTCCCTGGCTGCAGAATGGGAGTAGGGATTGCTTGTCTCTGAGTCCCCATCGACTCCAAAATGCTGTGATTCTTCTTACACTTTTAATCAAAACAGACCTCCCATCACCCGGACTTTTCATAGTTGGTTTTTTGTTTTTTTTGTTTTTTTTTAATTACAGCAAAATACACAAATCTTAAGTGTACAGCTCAATGAAGGTTAATATCTAACTACACTGGTGTAACCATTGCTCAAAGCAAAATATAGAACAATTTATCCCCCCGGGAAGTTGATGGATTCTAAGAGGCATGTGTAAGGTAGATGATACGCGGGGGTATCTGGCCCAGGTGAAATGGTTCATCAATAGAAAGAGCTGAGTAGTCACTGGCCTAGGTACCTGTGGTCAGTGGCTTCAGTTCTTTGCTTCCCTTTATAGCAAAACCTCAAAGTGTGCTGGGTGGCTCAGTCAGTTCAGTGTCTGACATTGGCTCAGGTAATGATCTCAAGCTTCATGGGTTTGAGCCCCACGTTGGGCTCTGTGCTGACAACTCGGAGCCTGCTTTGGATTCTGTGTCTCCCTGGCTCTCTGCCCCTCCCCCATTCACACTGTCTCTCTCTCTCTCTCTCTCTCTCTCTCTCTCTCTGTCTCTTAAAAATGAATAAACATTAAAAAAAATTGTTTTTTAACTCAAAAGGATTAGCTCTACCAGCACTATTTCATAGAGATGTAATGCAAGCCACATGGGTGCTTTTTAAATTTTCTAGTAACCACCATAAAAATGTAAAAAAAAAAAAAGGGGGGGGGGGACACCTGGCTCATTTGGTGGAGCATGGGACTCCTGATCTCAGGGTTGTGAGTTCAAGACCCACAGTGTGTGTAGATGTTACTTAAGTAAGTAACTAAATAAATAAATAAAATATTTTAAAGAATAAGTTTCTTTAAAACATTTTTTTTAATGTTTATTTATTTTTGAGAGAAAGAAACAGAGCACCAGCAGGGGAGGGGCAGAGAGAGGGAGACACAGAATCTGAAGCGGGCTCCAGGCTCTGAGCTGTCAGCACAGAGCCCAATGCAGGGCTCGAACCCATGAACCATGAGATCATGACTTGAGCCGAAGTTGTACGTCCACTCAACCAACTGAGCCACCCTGGCTCCCCAGTTTCTTTTTTTTTTTTTAAGAAAGATATTTTTTTAAAAAGTAAAAGAGAAACAGGTGAAATTAATTTTAATATCCTATTTAAACCAGTATATCTAAAATATTATTATATAACCAATATAAAAAAAACATGGTGGTATTTTGTATTCTTTTTTCATACTGTCTTTGAAATCAATGTCTATTTTACATTTACTGCACATTCCGGCTTGTACTAGACACATTTCAAGTGTTCAGTATCCACATGTGGCTAATGGCTACCATATTGGACAGCCAGGTCTATAACTACCAGCTCTGATTCCTCTCCTTCCATGCTCTTGCCTCGGGGCCTTTGTGTTGGGTTTTCACTCTGCTTGGAATGTTCTTTACCCAGATACTCACACAGCCAACCCCCCTCTCCTCCTTCAGGCCTTTACTCAAATGTCACCCCGTCACTGAGGCCCTCCCTGGCCACAGCACAGCACAAGTATGGATTCTAGGTACAAAAATGCCCTCCCACACTCTTCAACCCTTTAAATGTTTCTCCTTTGCAACTGCTGCCATCTAACATTTCTATATTTACTTGTTTTTATTATTCTTCCCCCTCATTAGAATATAAGGTCTTTGCCTGTTTGCTCACAGTTGTATTCCCAATGCCTAGAACAGGGCCTGGCACATAATGGGTACTGTATAAATATTTGCTGAATGAATAAATGATATTGCTCGTGGATGAACAAGCCACCAGTGGATGAAGGATGACTTTGGCCCAGAGTGGATGGGAATGATTAAGAGCCTGGTTCTGAACCAGCCCGCCTGGGTTTGAATCCCTGGACTCTCACTTGTCAGCAGTGACCTTGGCAGTTCAGTTACCCTTTCTGTGCCTCAGTGTTTTGTCTGTGAGATAAGGATACCGAGACCTCCCATTAGGCTGTGTGAGGAGCATATGAGATTCTATGCATGAAGCTTCCCGGCTACCACTCCGCGTACTTGGTAAACGTTAGCTATTTTTGTAGTATATCTTGTAATACCTCTTTGGGAAATGGAACTGTGTAAAACACATACAAAATTAGGCAGAAGATAAAAGGAAATTGAGATGCAGAACAGTATGGGGGAATTTTATTGTATCTGTGAAGGAAAAAGGTAGGTCAGAAATTAAATAGGAGTAACTGGATGCAGTTGTGTTTGGCTGCAGGTGGCATGAGACACAGGTGGAATCCTCATCCTTGGCAATTCCTGTTTCGGAAAGAAAGATAAAGCTCAGCTAGGGAGACCGAAGCAAGGGTGAGTTTGGGCAAGACACCCGGAACTAGGGTGACAGGTGCTCCAATGTCAGGCCTAGCTGTCTGGGTTCCAGAAGAGGGACTATGGGAGGAAGGGAAGGATCTCACGGGTTGCAGCACAACGAACATCAGTCTCAGCCCCAGCTCTGCTCACCTATTCCCACGGAGATCCTGGGCCAGTTACTTCCTCTTGAAGTAGCCACCTCTAATCCCCAGACAGGGTTAGATTAGGTTATTCCTTCCGGCACGTACGTTCAACCACACCCCTTACATCTCTTACCACTTATCACAGATTAAATAATCCACTGTTCGGGGACTTGCTTAATTTCTGTCTGCCTCAGTGCGTCAGTGAATTCCATGGGAGCAAGGACCACTGTTGTCCTATTCACTGCTGTAACCCTCAGTCCAGGGCCTGGCACGTCGTAGTCAGGGGACGATATTCCAGAGAGAGGAGGACAGGTAATTCTGAATCTCGGTTTCCTCACAGGGCCATTAGGTGGACATAAAGTGTGGTGGGTGCACAGATGTGCCGTCTTCCAGATCATTCTACTCTAAGCTCTAAGAATTCATTCTTCTGTTATGTGTCCTCAGGCCCACCAGGAGATCCTAGGATTTGCAACCCTTAAGCTGGAGGGGGAACAATGTTTGGAGCAGCCTCCAGGCCCCTTCCTGCCTGCTCTGTGACCTTGAGCTCTGCAACTGTCTCTGGCTTTTAACCTGCAGGAACACAGCCTGTGTTCTTAGCACTTGGCCCTCCTTGGGGCCACTACACCCTAGCCCACCAGGGCCTGGCGGGAGCCCTAAAGCAGGTGAATGATGACCTAATCCCAGCGTGGGCTGCTCGGGGGAGGCATTATTTTTAGAATTCTAGTCTTAGGATCCTTAGGGGTGATTGGAGCCCCTCCTCCCTTCACAAAGGAGGAGACAAGGAAGGCAACTTGCTGTGTGTGCCTCCCAGGCTGGCTCTCGCCCCTCCTGCAGCCTGCCCATCTGCCTGCCGCTCGTGTCTCCACAGGACTGTGGTTGGTGAGATCTCTGGGCTCTTGGTGTCTAATTAGGTTGGGAGGAAGGTGCGGGAGCACATGGAGAGCTCTGCTGGGAATGGATTTGCTTAATAGGCTCATCCAGAGGTGACTGGCAGAGCCCTGCTGGGACATGTTTGTGCTCACAGTTAAAATCAGGCTCAAAAATACAGCAGTTTCTCCACAAACAGTCCGTCATCCCTGGGGAGCTGTGTCTGTGAAGTAGAACTCCGTGTGAAGAAGGGAAGAAAACAGGTCTTGGGTCTGGCTTTCCAGTCCCTGACTTGGGGCCAGCTGCTGCCCCTCTTTCCTTCAGTTTCCCCCCTCTCTAAGCCGAGAGCACTCCCTGATCTTCCCTGATACCCAGGGGAACATGAGGGGCCACGAGAGGAGGGGTGACTGTCCTTCCCAACTTTCCTGGTCGTGAGTGCTGCCCACGCTAGTCTGCCCGAGGGTGTTGGGAGGGGCTGGCCTTTCCTTGGCCTTGTAGTTTTGGAAACTTGCCAATGGACCCAGGATGTGCCTGTCACATCGTCTGCATCAGAATCCCCTGGACATTTTTTAAAATTCAGGTGCCTGGTTCCTATCCCAGAACTACTGAGTAGGTCACATTTTTGTACACAGACGCTGAGCCTGGCCTCTTGCTTCTCACTGGAGATACAGCAGTAGATAAGATCTGGTCTCTATTATGCACTTGCTCCCCTTCTTCCAGTTCTTCATGTGTGTAGGAAGGAACCTTGTTCCTTGGCAGGAACCCATATCTTTGTTTTTTTTTGTTTTTTTTTTTTCAATGTTTACTTATTTTTGGGACAGAGAGAGACAGAGCATGAACAGGGGAGGGGCAGAGAGAGAGGGAGACACAGAATCGGAAACAGGCTCCAGGCTCTGAGCCATCAGCCCAGAGCCTGACGCGGGGCTCGAACTCCCGGACCGCGAGATCGTGACCTGGCTGAAGTCGGACGCTTAACCGACTGCGCCACCCAGGCGCCCCGAGGAACCCATGTCTTTGGAGAGGAGGAGATCCTTTCCTTTTCCTGGCAACCCATGCGGAAGGAAGCCTGCAAGGTCCCTAACTACACACACACGCGCGTGTGCATGCCCACACATATTCCTACCTGTGCTTCTGCAGCAGGGCCACCAGGATGCTCTCCAACGCCATCTGCTTTTGACCTGCCCACACGCTGTCCACCTGACGGCCAAGCCGTACCTTTGCTCCTTGCTCCTGGTTTCTCTCTCTGTTAGATTAGAAAAAGAGCAGCAGTGGAGGTGACTATTTGGATAGGATGTGGAGAAGCCTGGGAAAGGCCAGGGCCAAGTAAGCAGAACAGGTATGTCCTTATGCCTATTCCAATATCTGGTGTGGACTCTTTCACCCAATCGAACTAGATTCAGCAACACTTAGGAAGGTGCTCGATATAGTAGTGAAGAGCATAGGCTGCGAAATAGATTTACAAAATACCTCCCCACAGATTACTTGTTAATGATAAAGGAGAAATGTTAACTGGACAGAGGAGAAACGTGGCAGACATCACGTTAACCAGGCGATTAAAGTTACCATCACCAATAAGGGGATGAATTGACATCATGTGCCTCCTGATGTAATGCACCAAGAAGGAACAATATCACTGCTATGAATGCATAACCTGAAGCTAATCATGAGGAAGCATCAGGCAAATCCAGTATGAGGAACGTAGGGACGCTCTATAAATAATAATTGAACTTTACTGATAAAAAATGTCGATGTCACGAAAGACCGAAGAGCAGTTCCAGATTAAAAGAAACTAAAGAGACATGGCAATTAAATGCAATCCATGACCCTGGCTTGGATCCTGGATCAGGAAAATGAAAAATTGCCATAAAGGACATGTTGGGAAAACTGATGAAAGGTGAATGTATACACTAAGTGATAATTACACTGTGGTTCTATCAGAGAATGTCCTGTTGTTAGCTGTTTGGAGACGCCGTGCAGAGCTACTTGAGGGTAAATGGTTGTGATGACCGCAGTTTACTCTCATATGGTTCAACAAAGTAATGACAAAGTGCACACGTGTTTGCGTGTGTATATAAGCAAATATGACAAAATATTAGCAATTGCTGAAGATAGGGAAAGGGGATGTGGAATTCCATTGTATTACTGTTGCAGCTTTTCTGTATGCGCCAAACTGTTTCAAAATAAATAATATACAGGCTGTGATGTCAGGCTCTTTGGATGCTAGCTGTCTGGTATGCATCCTTTAGAAGCTATGAACTGCCCCGTAAGATGGGAGTAAACAGTACCTACTTTGTAGGGTTGTTACAGGCAAGAAGCCAAGAGTAATGGCTAATACTACCAAGGGCTTCCTGTGAGCCCAACACTGTCCTGAATGTATGGAAATGTCTGAGGGCACAGCCTCTGTGTCCAGCACAGAATCATGATCAGATGGTAACTATCATTGGTATCATTCCTGTTGGCCTAACATGGGGAGAAGCACATCGTTGGTGTTCAACAATCATAGCATAATTAGAGGTAAGCTGGGGCTTCGCGTTAGGGCCTTTCTGCTGTGGCAAATCCAGAAATAATAGATGCTGTGCCAGGCAAGGGACCAAAAGTCCCTCCAAACTCTGATGCTTGGAAGACTGGGAAAAAACCCACTAGACCTGCTTACCCCTGCTGCCTGCTCATGATGTCCTGCAGTAGCTTGCGGGCAGACAGCTGACCCAGCACCTTCCGGTAGCTGTTGGTGAAGATGGCATCTGCATACCGAGGCATTCTATATGGAAGGAGTCAGACGTCAAAGGGCTGGGTGGCAGGGCCAGGTGAGGAAACGGGGGTGGGGTGAGGGGTACTCACCATGTCCCCGTAACGTCCTTCTGCCCTTTGCCCTACTCATCCCCGGAGAAGGTAGGACCCAGGGCTGGGAGGCTTCTCTGGAACTCAGGATCTGCCCCCCTCCCAAAGATAGGCAGTGGGGGCTGCCTGAGGAGGTGGCTGGGGCCTGCTTAGGGCTCTGTTCTGCACGCCCTAAATCATCCCCCACTGGGCTGCAGGGATGGTTCTGGGACATTGGGTATCTAGGCCCTGGAGGCGGGACTGCTCACCTGAGGGGCAGGGATGGCGGGGAGCAGTAGGAGCCACTGTCGAGGGTGAGGATCACCAGGAAGAACACCCAGAGCAGCATCCTTCACCCCTCCGGTGACTCCTGGAGAACGACAGAAGGAGAAGGTCAACTGCAGCCATGGCCACAAGGATGCCTTTTATTGGCTGGGCCCAGTTCTGGGCTTGGCTGTATACAAGCCTTAGTCCTCGTCATTTAGAGGCAGTGAGGTACGAAAAAGAACCCAGACTCTGGAAGTCAAACAGACCCAGGTTCAAGTCCTGCTGTTGCCAGTCACAAGCTTTGACCTCATTTTCTGCATCTATAAAATGGGCCTGATAAGCTACCCTGCTGACCCCATAGGGTTGCATGGAAAACTAATGACATGGGTGAAAATGCCCCTTGCTGTAAGGCATCACATGTGGAATTCAGGCCTCAGCAAGGGTTGGGGGCTACACCTTCTCCTAGTCTCCTAAGTCACCCCACCCACTGTGACACTTGACAACAGGGAGCAGGGCCAATAGCTCAGGCTCTGAGTCAGACAAATCTCAGTTCCTATCTGGGCTCCACCATCACCAGCTGTGTGTCCCAGGACACGTGGCTTCTCCTTTCTGGGCCTCAGTTTCCCTATCCGTGAAATGGGGTCTATAACGATACTGACTGCATAGGGCCCTTGTGAGGATGAGATGAGATGAGAGTTGCTTGGCACATAAGGAATTCTCCCAAACACTTTTGCTGCGACGACCTCAGATCAGACCCACTCGAGGGGGCAGGCTCTCGTCCTGTTTGGTTCTGTGTGAAGTCAGAGGGAAGGGAAAGCTCTGCTTCTCGCTCCAGACATTTCGATTTCGCTGAAGGCTTTTAGCCTTGGAAGAGACCAGGGAGCCTGGGGAGCCAGTGTGGCAGAATCATCTAATAGATCATGTAATTACCCTTAATTGGGGCCTGCTGACACCGTGCTCTGCGATCAGGGAAAGAACAGGCAACGTGAGAAAGAGCCCGCCTGGGCTCGGGGAGGAGGCTCCACCGTCAACCCAGACCTGCCCAGTGTGGAAGCAGGGGGCTCAGCTAGGAGACCTAGGAATTGGGTCTCCCCACCTCTCATGCCCCCCTCAGTAGAATATCCATTCCATGGGCTACAGGCCCATGTGGGGACCCAGCCAGCCCAGAGAGGGGCAGGAACCCATCTAGCCCAACCTCACCCCCTGTCTTCCGTGTTCTCTCCTGTCCTGTTGAAGAGTGATCTCCAGCAAGCAGGGCCGGCACTGGCAGAATCCACCTTCCTTTTCTGGTCTCGCCCGCCCTCTTAGGGCATCCCCTTCCTTCTACCAGACAGCAGGGTCTTGACTAAGCCAGGGAGCACCTGCAGAGCTGGGCTCAGAGCAACCTGTGACTCTGCACCTCCAGAGCAGAAGGGAGGAGCCCTCCAGGCCTCACTGTCTCCCCAACAATCCTCCAGTTCCTGCTCAAATGCTCTCTGCCAGCGAGTGGCAGAGAGCTCACTACCCCCGAGCCAGGATGTGCTATCTCCAGGCAGCTCTTCTTGTTAGGAATTTTTTCCCATTGTGTCAAGTGCAAAAAGACGTGTTAAGCTTCTACTCTTCTGGGAAGGACTGGGGCTGGAGGAAAGATGAGAACATGGCATTTGCCTGCCCCTCCCTCTCCCCGGCTTTGCCATCCACCCTCTGTGCCACCCACAGCTTCTGCACCCTCATCCACATGAGGTGGATCTGACTTAGGCCTTTGCTCTCCAGACCAAGGATCTCAGTCTTCTGTCCTCTTCGTCACACCATATCACATCTGGCCCCCCGTCTCCCGGCCCGGTTCCAGGCTGCCTCTCTAACAATGGAGTTTCCTAAGCAGGGAGTTCTTTGGAGGTAAGGAGGGCCCCTTGTAACGAGCCCTCTTTTTTTCTGTCTCTTGGCTGGACTTCCTTGCCTTCTTTGCTGCTGATCTTTAAAAAAATTCTTTTAAATGTTTATTTATTTATTTTGGGAGAGAGAGATAGAGAGCGAGCAGGGGAGGGGCAGAGAGAGAGGGAGACAGACTCCTTAGCAGAATCCACACCAGCAGCGCAGAGCCCGACACGGGGTTCGAACCCCCCAACCGTGACATCATGACCTGAGATGAAACCAAGAGTCAGACGTTCAACTGACTGAGCCACCCAGGTGGCCGCTGCGGATATTTGAAAGACCTGGGCACGTCCAGGCCCCTAATCACTTCATTCCCCTGCTCAGAGGCCCTTGGTTGCTCTCCAGAGCAAAGCCCAACCCCCTGCTCTTGGGCTAAGCTCTCCCTTGGCTTCCCCACCTCCTGCCCCTTCTCGTGTGTTTCGCAGCCCCTGTGCTCACCTGGCCTGCACAGCCCACCCTCACACTCGCCCTCTGGAGCGGGTATCAGGGTCTTCATCTTACAGCTGAGGAAACGAGCCCAGAGAGGAGAAGGACCTTTTCTCCATGGTCCTCCATCACATTGGTTTCTGACTGGGCACTTCAGAATGGGCCTCAAAGTTCCCAGGCCAGCAGGGCCCTCCTGCTCCGTGGAGGCTGCCTCCCAGATACAATACCCTATTCACAGCTCCCTATTCAGCTCCCCGTTCATGGCAGGTGCTGCAGGATTCATCACCTGCACATGGGAAGCCGTTCTGAAAAACAGAAAGCTTTTGCTCTTTGTCACTGGATCTCCAGGGAAATTAAAAAAAAAAAAAAAAAAAAAAAAAAGGGACACACACAGGAACACCTGCCTGCTTGGCACCTTCCTATGTGCAGCCAGTGGTTTCAGGGAGTTGAAAATAACCTGATATGAGGGCAGACTTTGGAGGGCAAGTCACAGTAAATTCTGTAACCCCTAGCTTATTTGGAACGAGGTTGAGCAACTGTATAGTCTGGTCAACCAAGAGGCACATTTACTACAAACCGTGTGCCCCAGGGGTGAGTCAAGACACCATCGCAACCTCTAGGCTTGGGGTTGCAGCCTCTGATCCTTGGGGTTGCAAAATTCCACTGGACAAAGTTGGGAAACGACAAGAATTCTCTTGCTTACGGTCCGATGAGAATTAGATGTTGTATCACCACGGATAAAGTAGCTATTGACAGACGTATTCCACGCGAGCAATCTACAGAGACAGAATTCCACTGAATTAAGTGTAGTACAAATTCAACAGCATCCTCAACAACTCCTTGATAGCTCCAAAGGTATTTTAAGGTTTATCATCTATCCTCATGAGTATCAGTTAGCTTTCTGCAGTGTTGACAAGTGAATTCTGCGGTTAGATCTAATTGAGGTCATCAGGATTCAGGATAAATGGACACTTGACCTACATTAGTCGGCACCTCTTGCCAGCCTCTATGCCAAGAATGCTATGAGAATTCTCCAGATGCACCTTTTGCTAATGACAGAGGTCAGGTCTCATGTGCCCAACCTAGCAAGGCCACTTTTGGACAACTAGGAAGAAAATCTTTTACCTTTCTTTTTTATTTTAAGTTTATTTATTTACTTTGAGAGAGAGAGAAAGTGCGAGCAGGGAAGGGGCAGAGAGAGAAAGGGAGAGAGAGAATCTCAAGCAGGTCCTGTACTGACAGCGCAGGGATCGATTTGGGGCTCAAACTACATGGCCCGTGAGATCATGACCTGAGCCAAAACCAAGAGTCAGATGCTTAACCAACAGAGCCACCCAGGCGGTTCTCGTTTACCTTTCTCAAACATTCTGCTTTGTAATTTAAGAACGCTGAGGCACTGACGTCCTGATTTAGTTTATAAACTGTTTCAGCAATAGCATTCCAAATTGAAAGAGATCTAAGTTTTTAATGAGGAAGCATCACTCAAAAGAGAGACACTCCACCTCCTTCCTGGAAGAGTTTGAGGCGGCTTATGGTGAAAGACACAAATACTATGAGACCATCAAAACATGGATCAAGAAACAAGCGTGGGGATAATGGAGTGCTCCAGGGGCAGATAATTGCGTCTGAAACCTCGAGTAAGGAGCACAGCAGCAATTGAGCAAGAAAGCAAAATGTTATCAATTTCCAGGCAATTATGTTGAATGGGTTCAGAGCGATAGATGGGATGTATTGATTTGCACAGCCACTTGGCTCCTTTCCGATCCATGGCAGACCCCCATTGTTGATGGGAGAATCTAGCCAGCTTGTGTCTTGCCCCAGACACCTGCCTGCACACCGGAGAAGGAGTGCTGAGATTTCATCTGCCCCCCCGACAAACCCCTGGAACACATCCGTCTGCCTGCCCCTTCTCCATGGTTGAGGTGCCATGTATCCAAAACAACCTCAACATGGAGCCAACCATCACAAGCGTGTTCCAGAGCCCCTAACCAGGTACCTGAGTGTACTCACTAGTCCACAGGCGACGAGGATGATGGTGGGCCTCTTTGACTCGGTGTCTCTGAGTTGGTGAGAAGGTCAACCGTCTTGCCCCCATCCAGCCCAGCCCCCAGGACCACCCCCTCTCACCTCCGATATGGCAGGTGTCCCCTCTGCTATGAGGCGCTGCTCCTGCTGCCTGGACCTGGGGCTCAGCGTTTGTTCGGTGACTGCGTGACGCTTCCATCATTTATACCTTCATTTTCCTAAGCGTCGCCAGCGTCAGAGAATCAATTACCCACAAGTCAACCAAAGGACCGTTTTTAGCATCATACTGACAAACCCTAATAGGGGAAAGAGGTTTTTCCCCTTGCAGATGAAGACCTGTATGGAACTTTCCCTTTACGGACAGAACGCAAAGTTATGATATTATTCCGAGGGGCATAGAGAATATAATAATACTGCTTCTCTAATAATTGGAGTAATCATAACAGTGAAACAACAAAGGTTCATTTACTGTCTGAGTTAAATGTGCGTTTTAAAAAGTTGATATAATTTTTTTTTGTCCGTGTGCAACTTTATCTCACTTTCAGGTAGTCCACTTATTACAGATAAGTGTTTTTCTCTCCTTAGCGCAGCATCCAATTATCAAGATTTCCCCCTATTCGATTTACATCTGCTGCAGTCATAGGCCACTGTAGGCAGCTAGCCCGGGGAGCACCTGTTCTCATGTGTCAAGGCAGCCAAACATGGAAGGAGATGGAAAACCTTGGGAGGGTTGTTGTGTTTCCTGATTTTGCTAGCCTGTAGCTAAAGAATCCTCGAGAACGGTCTGAAAGCGTGTGAGTCAGAAACACCAGTTTTCCACGAGGCTGTTGTGGAGGGGTGGAAAGAGCCATAAGCTTCAAGTCCAGAGCCCTACCCAGCCCTCCTGTGTCTGTTAGTCATGACCTCTGTGACCCTCAACAAGTTACTTCTACCCTCCAGATCTCAGTTTCTAAACTTGGAAAAGCGAGGGCTGCCAGAGAATAGCAGCTTTCAAACTTTAAAAAAAAAAAAAAAAGGTGGCATAGAACTTTCTTCGGAAATCTTCTATGGAAGTGCAGTATATAAAGCAGATTTAAAACAGGAAACTGCTCTGGTTGAAGAGGGGGGAGTGAAGACTCCCTTTGGCTGCACCTGGGGTACCTCCATGGGCCACAGAACCAGTAGCTTCTGAATGAACCTCTTGGCAATGTTATGTTGTGATCCTTCTGCTTAGCCTGCACCGAGCCGTGTTCTTGGCACAGAGCACACAAGGGGTGTTTCCCATAGAAGCAGGGACTGAGTGGCTTGTCACCGTACCGGCCTGGACACAAAGTGGTCAGGTCAGGCCAGGTCCCCAGGGACTGAGAGTGGGCAAATGGAGCGTTTGGGAGCCCCCTGGGCAATAGGTTCTCATACAGTCAGGAGGTGTGAGGTTATCTCAGGGAATGCAAGGTGGGGACCACCTACAGCTCGAGTACCCACAATGGACACCAGGCCAGAGTACAGATGTAGGACACATGGAATTGCCTGGAGAAGCCATGGGGATCAGAATGCAACCTTAGTTGAAGTTCTGTTGCTAAGGACTTCATGCCTCTTCTCAAGTTTTCTCATCTGTAAGAGGAAAGTGATAGGGCTCGACTCATGAGGCTGCTGGGTGAGGATTAAAGGTGCCAGTGCATAAGGCACAGGCCTGGTATAGAGTAAGTCTCAAAAATTAGCTCTCACAGGGGCACCTGGGTGGCTCAGTCGGTTAAGTGGCTGTCTTTGGCTCAGGTCATGATCTCTTGGTCTGTGAGTTCGAGCCCCGCGTCGGGCTCTGTGCTGATAGCTCAGAGCCTGGAGCCTGCTTCTGTTTCTGTGTCTCCCTCTCTCTCTGCCCCTCCCCCATTTGCGCTCTGTCTCTCTCTGCCTTTCAAAAATGAATAAATGTTAACAAAAAATTAAAAAAAAATAGCTCTCACTTACCATTGCTATTATTGTAATAAGCAAGAGAGAACAGAGGCACAGAGAGGTTACCCACTCATCCACAGGCACACACCTGGGCAGCGGTAGAGCCAGGACTCAAACAAAGGTTTCCGACTCCCGAATCCAGTGCCCCACACTAGGCTAATGTTCTCCTAAGGCCCTTCCGTGGCCCACTGGGTCTTCTACTCTTTTTTAAAGAACTTTAACAGTTTTGCTTTTTACTTTACTTTTATTTTATTTTTAAACAAAATTAAAAAAAAATTTGTTTTCAACATTTATTTATTTTTGAGAGACAGACACTCTATTTGAGTGTGAGCGGGGGAGGGGCAGAGAGAGAGGGAGACACAGAATCCCAAGCAGGCTCCAGGCTCTGAGCTGTCAGCACAGAGCCCGACTCGGGGCTCAAACCCATGACACTGGGAGATCATGACCTGAGCTGAAACCAAGTGTCAGACGCTTAACCAACTGAGCCACCCAGGCGCCCCGAGCACTTTAAGAGTTTTATTGACATATATATAACTCATACACCATAAAAGGCACCTGTTTGAAGCCTATGGTTCAACAAGTTCTCATAAGTTTATAAAATTGTGTCACTGTCATGCAACCCCGTTTAGAATACCTCTGTCAGCCCAAAAGTTCCAGTCCCATTTGCTATCAACACCCACTCCAACCCCAGCCTTCAACAACCACTGATCTGCCTTTTGCCTCTATACTGTTTCCTCTGCTAGAACGTTCATACGGATTCATGTGAATTATGGAATCACATAATACGTACTCTGTGCTGTCAGTCTCCTTCACTCATCCACCTGTTTTTGAGATTCATTTGTGTTGGATCCATATCAGCAGCCTGTTCCACTTTATTGCTCAGTAGCGTTCCGTTGTACAAAAGTCTGACAGCTTGTCGACCCATTCACCGTGATGGACATTTAGGTAGATTTCAGTTTGGGGCGGTTACGAAAAACACTGCTATGAACATTCGTGTATAAGACTTTGTACGAACGTGTGCTTTTATTGCTCTTGGGTGATTACCTAGGAGAGGAACTGCTGGGTCATGTGGTACGTGAATGGTTTGCTTTTTAAGAAGCGGCCAAGCTGTTTTCCGAAGTGGCACCCCCATTCCATTTCTGCCAGCTGTGATGGAGAGTCCCCCGGGGAAGTCCTTAAACCAGCCTTTCTTTACCCCGCAAACACCTACGAAGCACTGAATTAGGCCCACCCAGAGCTCGCTGGATTAGGAGTTTGTCAGTCTCTGAAGCCCCGGTTCTATTCTCCTCTTAGGAGAGTGGGCTGGGCCTTTCCCCCTGCATGGCATTTTCTTGAGCACTAGGAGGACAGTGGCATGTGCTTGTACTCAGAGCTGCAGGAGGCAGGCATGTGAGAAGCTGAGTGACTTACCTCAGGCAGGGAGATGGAGACAGGCACACGGTTATGTGGGTTAAATGTCCCAAGAATTGAGAGAAGGGAAAAGTCACGCTAAAGCTGGGAGAGCCTCAGGGAGGAGCAGAGAGAAGCCTAAAGCCTAAAGCAGAGAGAAGCACGAGGCCCACGGATTTAGATTTGAAACTCAGCTCTGCCACTTGCAAACTGTGTGATTCTGGGCGAGGGGTTTATTCTTCTCGGAGCCTCAGTTACTGCATCTGTACAATGGGGGCGATGACATCTACCTCCTCAGGTTGTTGTGAGGGTCAGGAACGTGCTTGTAAAGTGTCTGATGCACAAGGCAAAAGGCAGCTGTTACTGTAGCTCTTACTGATCAGAGCGGAGCTCTGAAAGCTGGGCAGGGTGGTGGCCAGAAGAGCAGGAGCCTTCTGGGAGGAGGGGCTTCATTTGCAGCGTATTCTCAAAGCCCTTGAGGCGGAGGATGAGGGAAGAAGCCAGACCCAGCCTTGACAGTGAGAGCGCAGCCCCCCCCTCCACCAATCCCCGCAGCCAGCCGCCTCGTCCTCATCCTCTGAGAGGCGGTGGGAACGCCTCGCTCGCCACCCGGCTTTCTTCCCAGCACGGGTTTTAACCCAGAGTTAATTAGCGATCGTGCCTGCTCTAGGGGCTGGGGACTTGAGCTGTGGAAAAAAATGCCCCAGAGAAAGGCAGGCTTTAAAAAGCCCCAAAAGGCTGGGGCAGAGAGGCTCCGCTGGGAGAGAGACAAGCCGCGCGTTTGTGTTGCAAATTTCCAGTGTGTTGAAGCCAGCCATTCAGGGAGGGTGATGCTAAAGGCAGTGGGCCTGCGGGTGGGGAGGGCAGAGGAAGTCGACAAAGGGGGCCTGTCTGAGGGCCTCAGACCCTGCTTCATAAAAGCTGCTTTCATCACCCTCCCTGGATGATGGCAGCGTTCCCAGCCCGAGGCCAGCATGCAGGGAAGGGGAAGGCCTGGACCCTAGACTCCCAGATTCCCTTGACACCCCCCACCTAGTGTGCCTTCTAGGCCTGTTTTTACGGAGTCAGCAGCAGCAGATGTCACATGAGCACTCATGAGTGCTATGTCAGGGTGAGGGACCAAGGTTCACACGGTTGGCCCAGTTGGGGGGCCTCAGGCAAAGTCAAGGGACTTTCCTGAACCTCAGTTTCCCATTCTGTAAAATGGGGCTGATGGGGTCCTTCCCCCTACTTCATATCCTACCCAAGCAGAAGTGCCCATGATTGGTTGGTGATCCAATAACCATCAGAAGTTCATCTCTTTCTGGAAAAGTCTGCATTTGGGAAGGTCATTAGGAGAGCTTTTTTAAAGAGGTGAAGTTGATTGTACTTAGCAAATCAATTAAGCAATTCTGGGTTGCTTGGAAATGTTACTCTCATAAGTGTTTTAGATATTCACCTTGCATGGAATCTTTAGGCCTGTCCCAAGTCAGTTATGAATGCTAACCAGGTTGGTTTTCTGGGTTGGTAGGTACCGTGCAGGAAGGCTGTCCCCAGCTGATCCTGTAGGCAAGCTCTCCCTGGTGGAGATCTGACCAGCCTTTAAAGACCTCTTTGAGGTTAGAGTGGAAGAGAGCCAAAGCATAAGAGACTCTTAAAAACTGAGAACAACCTGAGGGTTGATGGGGGGTGGGAGGGAGGGGAGGGTGGGTGATGGGTATTGAGGAGGGCACCTTTTGGGATGAGCACTGGGTGTTGTGTGGAAACCAATTTGACAATAAACTTCATATATTGAAAAATAAAATAAAATAAAAAATAAAGACCTCTTTGGACCCTACCTCCCCAAGAAGCATTCTCACACCCTGCTCCTCCCTCCTGGCCTTGCCTTGCGGTTGACTGATTTTATATGTGGAAGCGTCTCCTTTCCTGAGACACTTGGGATGTCTGCAACCAGACCTAATTAAAAATTTTTTAATATATATTGATTTATTTTGAGAGAGAGAGAGAGAGGGAGAAGGTGTATGAGCTGGGGGTGAGGGGGTGGGTGGGAGAGGGAGAGAGAGAATCCCAAGCAGGCTCCACATTGTCAGCACAGAGCCCAAAGTGGGGCTCGATCCTATGAACCGTGAGGTCATGACCTGAGCCAAAATCAAGAGTCAGAAGCCCAACCGACTGAGCCACTCAGGTGCCCCACATCTGATTAATTTTTGAGCCCCCTAAAGCCTTCTTTCTTTTCCCAGCTTTATTAAGATGTGACTGGCATAGGGGCACCTGGGTGGCTCAGTCAGTTAAGCATCGACTTCGGTTCAGGTCATGATCTCACAGTTTGTGAGTTCGAGCCCCGCGTCAGGCTCTGTGCTGACCGCTCGGAGCCTGGAACCTGCTTCAGATTCTGTGTCTCCCTCTCTGTCTGCCCCTCCCCTGCTTATTCGCACGTGCTCTCTCTCTCTCTCTCAAGAATAAAGATTAAAAAATTTTTTAAAAAGATGTGACTGGCATATATAAAGCTTGATAATGAAGGTGTGTTTCCTAGACCAACAGTAACAGTATCTCCTGGGAGTTTGTTGGAAATGCAGAATCTTGGGCTCCACCCCAGAGTGACTGAATCAGAGGGCAAATCCTCTTTGTTCTAGGATTTTAAAGGCATCAGGTCCCTAAGATGGTTTCTGAAGGCCTTGCGATTTTCTCACCAGGGAGGAGGGCCTTGACCACAGGCAGCCGGGAGATGTCGCTGTTCTCCAGTCTTTGGGAGATGTCAGGCTTCCTTGCAAACACCAGAGGCCCCAAGTGCCGGGTTTTGTTTCCTGTGAAATCCAGGAGAACCGAGGGGTCCAGGTCCGTTATGTATTCAGGCCACCCCCTCCTCAGCCACCTGGGCCGCCTATCTCTCTCTGCCCATTTCCTGCCCTGGGTTCTCAGTTGTGTTTCCAGTTAGGGAAGGCTGTGTGTTCCCCAAACTCAGCCCCTGCCCCAGGATCCCCAGGAGAAAGCCCAGAGGAGAAAGCCCAGCATATGGAGACTTCTTCAAGCCTGGCTCATCAGGCAACAATGTGGCCCGGCAGAGGAGGGGACATCTGTATGTCGGGAGGCCCCTTCTCACTTGGAAGCTGAGTAGGAGGATCTTAGTGACAACGGGACCTGCAGACACAGCCAGAGGAACTTCGCATTATTTGACTGTCTACAGGAAAACCCCGCAGCCTGCCTGGGATTCCAGTTTCTGGTTACCATCTGAACTGGGTGCCCAGTGTCAGGGCCAGGATATGGCTGCACTTCCCCACGGCGGTGATAGGGCAGTTAACAGAGCTCCATTAGCCATGGATGCATAAACCTGGGCTCCAGAGTAGGGCCAAAGTGCCCTCAGACACTTCCAGACTGGAAGTAGAGCTGCTAGTTTCTCTCCAGAGCTCAAGTTTCCAGTCCAGCCACCTCCTCCTGACCTCCCCCCATCCCGTGTCATCTGGTCCCTGAACACCCAGGCCACAGAGCAGAATGCAGCTCAGCTTCCACGCCCAGCCCCACCCTTGGAGCTGGAACTCTCCTCTAAAAACCCCACAATCCACCCCTAATCCACGGCTGACACCTGGCTTTCTGCTTAACTCCTGTCACTCCAGCCCCAGGGTCAGCCCCATTCACCCCCACCCAACTCCTTATAGGAGTCCAGTTGTCTTGGATCACAGCACAGCAGTATAGCCGTAATATCTTTTGGTGCCTACTATGTACCAGTCATGTAACATGCATGATCTCATTCAACAAATTTAAGGGTTAGGAGCACAAAGTGGTTGCTTTTTTTTTTTTTTTTTTTTTAAGATGGGGTGGGGGAGAGGAGTGGGGCATAGGGAGAGAGAGACTCTCAAGCACTCTCCACACTCAGCACGGAGCCTGATGTGGGGCTCTATCCCATGACCCCGGGATCATGACCTAAGCTGAAATTAAGAGTTGGACACTCAACCGAATGAGCCACCCAGGCGCCCCAATTATTGTGGAAGAAGCTGAGTGTTGGAGCCATTGGGTAACTCATCTAATCTCACTCAGACAGTAAATGGGGAAGCCATGGCCAGAAGTGGCACAGGTCTGCCTCCAGACATGCCCTAGTGCCCTGGAGCAGTGCTACTGCCGCCCCAGCCTTGGCATCTTTAAAAAAAAAATTTTTTTTTAATGTTTATTTTTGAGAGAGAGATGGAGTGCAAGTGGGGAGGGGCAGAGAGAGACAGAGACACAGAATCCTAAGCAGGCTCTAGGCTCTGAATTGTCAGCACAGAGCCTAATGCAGGGCTTGAACTCACAGACTAGCAAGATGGTGACCTGAGCCAAAGTGGGACGCTTAACTGACTGAGCTATCCAGGCGCCCCCAATGCCCCCAGCCTCAGCATCTTAAGGCTGATTTCTGCTGACTCCTCACAACAGATACCAGATTTCCCTTTGGGCAGTATCAGTAGGGTCTCTGTGGACCTGTGAGGTGTAAAGAGTGAGGATTTCCCATGTCTGATGACCAAGTGGCACTGTACTTTTCACATGCATTTGATGTGGTGACAGTGACATTTCTTATTAACATCAGAACTTTGGTGATCTCCCCCGTTGAACCTGGAACCAAAAGTCCCAGCCTCACATCTGACCCAATTCACACATCCTTCAGGTTCGAAATAGACTCGGGCAGGCACAAGCATTTCAGAACAATGAACACTCATCACCAATACATTTGCATATTTCATCATTCATTCAGGGTTTCATCCATCCTTTGACAATTCGCCCCTCAGACCTCCCTGTAATTATGCCCTCTGGGTGTTAAGCATTGTGTTTTGGCATCCGGGAACCAAGGAGTGGTAAGATACAATTCAAATGAATAGATATTTATTCAGTGCTTGCTGTGGGCCATTCGCTGTGCTGGGGGCTCCAGGCATTCCGTGGGCTTGCTTTGGTGGAGACTTCATTCCAGCTGGGAAGGCAGGCAGGCCAACAGATAATTAGATATGGTGTGATACACATGGTCTATAACAGAGGTGTGTTTCATGTGCTAAAGGAGCAGGGTGGGTGGGGAGTTTGCTCTGCTAGGGCTCAGCAAAAGCTGCAGAGATGGCGTTTAAGCTGGCCTTGAAGAAAAGGGAAACTCTACTACAGCATGAGCAGAGGCCGGGCTGCACAGTCAGCACGTGGCAAGTCGTTTGGGTGGCTACCGTGAGGGTCCTCAAGCCTTTGCGTTGGGCTTGGACCCCCACGTTCAGTTGTCTGGGGTAGGGCCCAGGGTTCTGCAGTTTTAGCCAAGGCCTCAGGTGATTCTGACGCAGGTGTGAGAGACCACAACTTCATTGGCAGGAAATACAGAAAATGACTCTGGAATGATATATGAAGACCCAGCCGTGCAGGGTGTCAAACACCACGCTTGGGAATTTGGGCCTTTTCCCTTCTCAGTGGAGAGAGCCCCATGGGAGGCTTTCAAGCCAGCAGCCCGGAGGGGGTACTGAAAAGCAGAGTGGCCACAGGGAGGGAGCCTGGCTGGGAAGCTTTCACAGGTGTTCAAGCCTGTGGTTCTGAGGGCCTGAGCCAAG